CAAATGCACAACCTATGAATATTAAATCATAAGAACTATGCCAAATAATTCCACCAAATTGTCATGTAGATTTTCTTTGGAGAAACAGAACTAAAAATATACAAAAATACACTCAGATAACCCAGACTACATTGGCTTGTTTCGGAATTTTTTAAAAATGTATTTTATATTTAACCCACATGCTTCTCATGTGATTTTTCTTTTTATGGAAATGCAAGCACTTGGAAGAGACTGGGTATATGATGATAAGAGAAGGGAAGCAGTGTTTAGTAGTTCCATTCTGAATCATGCTTGAAAATGAATTAGCTTCACGGCCCAAACCCTTCCAAAATGAGCCCTCTTAGTACAGAATGAAGGAAGACAGGACTGTTCAGCAAAGTGTGTGATGAAAAGGTTTCCCAAATTTTGAAATAATGTACTGACATTTAGTACCAGTGAGTGTGACGTTATCACCAAATTATCACGTTATAAAATATAAATTTTAACTTAAAGTTTCTCCCAGGGGCCGATACTGTGGTGTAGCGGGTAAAGCCGCTGCCTGCAGTGCCAGCAACCCATGTGGGTGCCGGTTCGAGACCCGGCTGCTCTACTTCCGATCCAGTTCTCTGTTATGGCCTGGGAAAGCAGCAGAAGATGGCCCAAGTCCTTGGGCCCCTGCAACCACGTGGGAGACCCAGAAGAAGCTCCTGGCTCCTGGCTTCGGATCAGTGCAGCTCTGGCCGTTGCAGCCATCTGGGGATGGAAGACCTCTCTCTCTCTGCCTCTCTATCTCTTTCTGTGTTACTCTTTCAAGTAAATAAATAAATCTTTATTTAAAAAAAAAAAGGATTCAGGGCCAAAGAACTAATCAATATCTGCCTACATTACTTAGCTAAAATCAAAACAAGTTGGTGGGTGGTATTTATCCTGACAGGAGGGTGAGAAAAGTTAGAAATATAGGATGGGCCATTGTTAGGGGTAGGGAGGGAAGGAGAGGAAAATCTGGATAGGAAAATCTTTGAGTGGAAGTGGCTAGTCAAGAAGTCATTTCAAGAGACAGGACAGAAATGGGGAGTCAGGCAGGTGTCTTCCTCCACCTGTACCCTTGGTTCCCAGGTGGCTGCCTTGGAGAGTCTGTGCCACTGAATGAATCAGCTCACCTTTGCTCTTTTTTTTCCTCCTCTGCCCAGGACAGCAGATAGGACCGGGACATAAATGTGCTCAGGGAGGCCAGCACCAGTCCTTCTACCCTCTGCTTCTCCCCGAGTCCCCTAGAGCAGACCAAAGGAGTGGGAGGCTGAGAGCCAGTTGAGGATGAAGAGGTAATGATGGTTTCTTGTTCATCTATTTATTCCTGCGTAGATTAATTATTGAGCATATAAATGCGCATTCACTTAACATACCATGAGTAGTCACCTTCAGTCAGACATGCTAGAAAGATCAGGGATGACAAGAGTATGAAAATTCTTACCAAGACGTGGGTTGCTGATAAAGGGTGAGAGTATCTGGCTTGGGGAGAAAGTCCCGAAGATTCATTATGAACAAAAGGCCACGGGTTAGACAGGAACAGCCCATAGAAGGCCATCATTCTCAAATTATTGATCCTTTGTGCATTGTACATTTATGAACACTGATCCCTACTTGTTTCCAGGTTTTTCCAAAGTCTCTGTGGCTCAATATACCTTCAAAAAAGGTTTGATTAAAAAAAAAAAAAAAGGCAAATATGTAGCCAGCGTTCATCAAGAACTGTCAGTGAGCCCTGTAAATAAACTCTCTCCAGCTCAGAAGGGGCTGAGTCAAATGAGTGCCTTCGGAGCCAAAACAAGTCATTGATCAAAATAACAATTCTGTTGTGGCACAGTGCTGATTCTCCAAATTCCAGGTGAGGGAGGCCTTGTATCCAAGGTAACCATCAAGTCTCTGGGAGTAGGCATGGTTTAAGATGGAGATTAAGGCATGGCTGTTTAAGATATTGCCCAAAGTATGTGTTCCCCTTTCACTGGCCTTTGTAATTCTCACTATTTTTTTTGAAGACTTATTTTATTTATTTGAAAGGCAGTTACAGAGAGGCAGAGGCAGAGAGAGAGAGAGAGAGAGAGAGAGAGAGGTCTTCCATCTGCTGGTTCACTCCCCAGATGGCTACTCCAGTTGCAGCTGCACTGATCTGAAGCCAGGAGCCTCCTCTGGGTCTCCCACACAGCAGCAGGGGCCCAAAGGACTTGAGCTATCTTCAACTGCTTTCCCAGGCCACAGCAGAGAGCTGGATCAGAAGTGGAGCAGCGGGGACTCAAACTGGTGCCCATATGGGATGCTGGCAAAGCAGGCGGCAGCTTTACTTGCTAAGCCGCAGAGCCGGCCCCCTCACTATTCTTTAAAGGAGTTATAACATTGCCAAAAAAAAAATCCTTCCTTAGCAGGACTGTGTATTATGTTTTTCACAACTGTCTACACTTGTGGAGCTGTTGGAAGACCACCCCTCCTTCTCCTCAAAACGATGCTGGGACAACGGAGACACCCATGCTACTGAGGATGTCCCAGTCACTGCCACTTCTCTAGAAACCGCTTGATTTAGTTGTAAGTTAAACAAAATATCCACCGACCAAAATCCACAAATCCAATAAAAAGCCACCTCTCTCAAATCCTGGGAGTACAGTGGCTTTTAGGAGACCAGCTGGGTTTGGACCCCTCTCTTAATTCTTACCCAAGCTCTATCTTTTTTCATATAACTTACAGAACATCAATTATGACAATTAAAAAAAAAAAAACTGTCAAGAATGTGAGAGCGCTATTTTGACCAGCAACCAGAAGGCTTGTTGGTGTAGAAGTAATTGTGGAAAGAATAGTGCAGGCTCAAAAATCAATCTGGCGCTGCTTCCCCGCAGGCTAGAATGAGTCTGGCCCGTTTGCTGGCTGGGAGCACGAGCAGCCTCTCCGGATGTTTTGCGTGGCTAAGTACCAGACAGGGACAGAAAAGGCAGTGCAAACTTTTCGCAAATTAACACCCCTCAGTTGATGACACACTTTTTATGCCTTTCCTCTGTGCCTAGATGTTTAATGCTGGAGAAATAAAAGATAATGGAAACCAGATGAAGCCACTGTTTTAGCTCTGACAGGAGAGTATAAAGATTTGGCTTAGGATTTCATGACACTAAAATTGTGTGCGTGTATCTCTTTAAATTCTGCCAACACTGTTTTTCCAAGAACCGGTGACTTTTCACATAGTAGTGGCCAACGCCATCTTCCCAGTGTCCCCAGAAGGAAAACTGGTCTCCTGCCAATGCAAAAAGCCTCAGCTTCTGCCAGGCCTACCTCAGCCCTCCCGTTTCCCCAGCTCACGAACCAGGGTTTGGTGTCTCCAGCACCAAGGGGAAGCAAATAAACCACCAGAAAAGATACAAGGCAAACAAATACTAGAGCCTTATATTTAGCCTTAGAAATGCCTTAAAATCTTAAAAAAAAAAAAAAAATCTGGGGCTGGTACCATGGCTCACTTGGTTGGTCCTCCGCCTGTGGCGCTGGCATCCCATATGGGCACTGGGTTCTGTCCCGGTTGCCCCTCTTCCAGGCCAGCTCTCTGCTGTGGCCCGGGAAAGCAGTGGAGGATGGCCCAGGTCCTTGGGCCCTGTACCCGCATGGGAGACCAGGAGAAACACCTGGCTTCGGATTGGCGTAGCTCCAGCCATGGCAGCTATTTAGGGGGTGAACCCACAGAAGGAAGACCTTTCTCTCTGTCTCTCTCTCTCTCTCTCTCTCTCTCTCACTAACTCTGTCAAATAAATAAAAAATAAAATAAAATTTAAAAAAAAATCGGAGGTCTTCTGAAGAAAAACTGTACCAGTTCTTTGACAAAAAAATCTCAAAATGTATGTCTTCTTTCAGTGTGAATGAGAATCACTATTATAGAGTTCATTCATCAGTGGGGCTGCGCAGTTGCAGTAAAATCACAAAGCCTGGGCAACATTAAAGCACCACTGCTCTGTTAAAGCCAGGGCCCGCATGACCGTGAGACAAAACAGACTCCGCGGATCAGCACAGCTCCCGCTACTGCAGTCCTGTAAAATAATTCGGAGACCTGTAACTAGCCCCACTTGCAGTCTAAATAAAGAGGGAGGAAAGAAAAGCCAGCTCCAGACAGGGGTAGCCTGCGAATGGAATTTTTTAAGTTGGAGGATTCTGTGAAGCCCCTTAGTGTCTATCCGTACACTGACATTTCTGGAGACGGAGTCTGTAGCTTCCGGAAGAGCTGCAGAGATCCCCGAGCCGTCCTGCAGCAAATACGTCCCAGAGCCAGAGGAAGCCCTGTCAGCCGCACAGCCCTGTGTGACTGTACAATAAAGCAGATGGTGTTTCAGCCTCATGAAAAAAGTTATATCATAATTGGTGGGTTGCTCCCGCTCAAACAGTGTTGCAGTGATAAATCTCTGTAACGATGTTGAATTGTAAAATTACCCTGCTGGTTCCATAAATATATTATACGTGGTGGTTATAAAAGGGGCTTCTCATTAAAGCATTAAGGGACGGTTTTACTGCATCATTAATTTGGCATAGAAGCAACATGGTGCTTGCACTAAATATTAATTAATTAAGGTTTAACCAGGCAATGTTGTTTGTCCTCCTGAAATTCGAAGAGCTTTCCTGGGGAGATTTAAGAGGCCTATGTTGCTTTAAAAACAAACACCAGGAGTCTGAGGAAACGCCTTGCGCTGCAAGCCCTGAGGTCAAGGTCAAGTTTGTCTTTTGAGGGTCGATCCTGGGGCTTAAGATCTAAGTCTACGCTGAGAAGCCCGAATGCAGAAGGCTGCAGGGCACACACGCCAGCACAAACCGCCCCACGGTCGCCCACGTGGCAGGGAACGCGCCACAGCCCAACGTGGAGCGCCCGGAAGCCCCAGCCTCTAAACGGCCCACAATACCAGCTCCCAAATCCAGCGCCAAGAGCAAGCCTTCCGCTCGGAGGTGGGCAACCGGAAGTCACAAGAGCAGGCCTTCCGCTCGGAGGTGGGCGACCGGAAGTCACTTACCGGAAGCAGGGGGCTGGTCGCTAGGGGAGCTTCCGGACGCAGCGCCTCCCCGAGTGGAGCCCGGAAGCCGCACGTCAGCCCAGTCCTCGGGCTGCTCGGCGCTGTTCGCCCTGGCAGCTCCTTCTTCGGCCGGAAGGCCCATGCCGTAGGCGCACTGGGGCAAGGGTCCGTGTTTCGGGGAGTCCGTGAGGGGTTCACGGTCCTCCCCAGGGGGGCTTGCGCAGGCTTGGCAGCCGTGGGCCAAGCTGGAGCAAGCGCCCCCCTCCACCTCTGTTTGCAAGTACTTTTCGGAGGTCAGGGGCGTCCAGTCGGCCCCGCCTGGGGGCTCGGGCAGGTGGCAGCTGTCGGAATCCAGCGCGCTCTCGGTCCCCGTGAAGCACTGGCTCAGACTGTCATTCTCCCCCACCTCCAGGGGCTCCGGGAAGGGCGGCGAGGCTGTGCCTCCGGGCCGAGCGAGGGGCAAGGGCCTGTCCACGTACTCGTCTTCCGTGGGGATCTGCCGGAAGGAGTCCCCTTCACCGTCCAGCTCGCTGACCAAGGACAGCGTGGGAGCACGCGCGCCCTGTGTGCAGGGCCCGCTTCCCGCGCAGGCAGCCGCGCCGTCCGGGTAGCACATGTCTTCTGGAAACGTCTTCTCCTCTACGGTCAGCAGCAGGACTCCTTCACACGCCTCGCGCGGAGCGGCGGCCAACGTGTGCGTGCTGATGCAGCCGTCGCCGGAGGCCTCCTGCGGATTGAAGAGCCGCAGACAGACGCGTTAACACCCAGAGTGATTAGAACCTGTTCGGCCGCACACTGCGGAAAGTGCTGTTTATACCAGTGACTTCCCCCATGGCAAGTACTGCCGGAACATTCGCCACGGCTCGCGCTTGTGCTATTTAAAATCACAGAGTGTGGGAGCACCCGAAAACGGAACACAATTAGAAACAGATGAAGCCGACTGCATTGCCCATGAGGAGCGAGCGTATTCACACCCAAGCAAGGGGAAGAGCTAACCCGAGTAACTTTCAGAAATGCGTTTATTTGAGAGGCAGAGAAACACACACACACAGGGAGAGAGAGGGAGAGAAACAGAGTTCCTCTATGCTAGTTCACGCCTAAATGCCCACAGTGGCTGGGGCTGAAGCTAGGAGCTAGGCATTTATCTGGTTCTCCCATGTGGGTGACAGAGCCCAGTTACTGGAGTCATCACCACGGCCTCCCAGGATCTGCACTGGCAGGAAGCTAGAGTAAGAAACCAGACATGGGGATCAAGGCCAGGCACTCTGATTTGGAATGCGGGTGTCTTAACCACTAGGTTAGATTAGCCTCCAAATGAAAGCTATTTGAAGAAGAGAGAGAGAAATCTTGCATCCTCTAGTCCACTCCCCAAATGGCCTCAACAGCTGGAGTTAGGCCAGGCTGAAGCCAGGAGCCTGGAACTCCATCTCTTGTGGGTTCAGGGGCCTGAGCACTTGGGCCATCTGCTGCTGCTTTCCCAGATGCATTAGTAGGGAATTGGATTGGAAATGAAACAGCCAGGACTTGAATGGCACCCTGTGGGATGCCAGTGTCACAGGCTCTGGCTTAACCTGCTGCACCACAGTGTTGGCCCCTCCAAATAACTTTTGAACCCAATATTTTGACTATATACCCTCAATCTAAGTATATACAAAATAACAACACAAACCTGACTATAACCAAGTATTGAACTCCATTTAGTAGTTCTGTTTTGCAGATATGATTTAATTATTCTGAAACTACTTTCCTGTATTCCAGAATTGAACAAATGAATAACTATATTGAGAATATTGGGAACCAGTTCCAGCACTGCTGGAGAAGATTCAAATGTGGAACAGAGAAAGATGAAAATGAACACTGTAGTGTTGGGACTGGAAGTAATATCGTGCTTTAAAATTTACATTTTTATACCTAACAAAGGAGCCCTAAAGGACAAAAATGGGATAACTAATGAAATTTTAATATCAGGTATAGACTGGATAACAGTGTGGTACCACTGTTGATTTTCATAAATGTTCTATGGCTAGATACGAGAATGTCTTTATTCTTAGGACATATTTAGGAGTATAGGAATATACTGTGTCCATTGACTGTAAAAATCATTCAAGAAAAAAATGCAAGGGCCATCATTGTGGTGCAGTAGGTTAGGCCACCCCGGCAACAATGGCATCCCATATGAGCCCTGAGGGAATCCCAGCTGCTTCACTTCTGATCCAGCTTCCTGCTAATGCACCTGGGAAAACAGCAGAGATGATGGTCTGAGTGCTTGGCCCTCTGCCATGGAGTTCTGGGCTCTTGGTTTTGGTCTGGACCAGCCCCAGCCATCTTGGTCATTTGGGGAGTGAACCAGCAAATGGAAGATCTCTCTCTGTAATGCCTTTGGAAAAATAAATCTTTAAAAAAATGAAAATAAAAATATATTGTTAAAAAGAAAAGTATATATTTATATACACAGAATAAATAAAGCAATGTAAATAACTGATAAATCTGACTACAGGGCATACGGAAGTTTGTTCTTACTACTCTTCTATGATTTTGAAGTTTTGTCAAAATAAAAAGTTACCAAATAGCTACAGTGTAAAAGGACATTGCAACTCATTCCTCCTAGGACTCTGCACTGAACAAGAAAGACTGTAGCATGTACACAGAGTGTCAGAGGAAACAAAGAAAACAGGAGCTTAGAGTGAGCAGTGACTTGGGCTTTGAGTTGTTCTGTAGGGATCACCCTGGGACTTGAGGTCTGATCCCTGCATGTGCAAGTGGCCCCTAGGCAGTGGGGTTCTGTACTTGACCAATTACAGCAACATGAGCCTAACTGCTGGAAGCACTTAAAAGACACACTAAAGACTTCAAGTTTTACCTTATTTCCGCTTAGGCGGCCACAAGCCTCATTGACCCAGTGCCACAAATTAGCTAGAAAAACAAAGCAAGTATAAGGGTTTCATGTTACTATTTCCAATGTCTTTAACTTTTATTGTGTATTTTTAAGGTACACAGCATGATGTTATATACGTGAATAGCAATATAGTACAGTGAAAAACATTAACACATCGATCATCTCACAGTTACCCAATTTTTAACAAGAGCAGCTAAAATCTACTCATTTAGCAAAAGACCTGAATACCACAAGTATTATTCTCAGCTGTTGTAGCCTATGTATCTGTCACTTTCCATTCTTTGACATCGTCCTGGTCACCTTCCCTCTGCCGCGGTAACCACTGTTTATTCTCTAGCTCTATACATTTGACTTTTCTCTTTGATTTTTTTTTTCAAGATTCCACATATAAATGAGACTGTGATATTTTTCTGTGTCAGGCCTAGGATCATTGCCATGATGTCAGCTCAGTAAGATCTTTAAACACTGTCCACTAGAAGTGTTTCAGTGAGCATCCGTGGGAGTGGAAGCTGTTAAAAAGAGTTCCACTGCTCTAAGGACTAGGAAGGTGTCTTACTCCTGTCAATAACAGACCTTCCCGTTCTCCGTAAAGCAACACATGATCTGTTGTGTTCCATCCAATCCTGCTGGGCACATGTGGAGCTGTCAGAGCTACAGCCCTGACTACAGACACCCTCATGTCCTCCCCAAGTTTTCTCTGACCACGAGAGACGAAGTGAGGTATCACAGGGGGACAAAGATGCTGTGCCTAGGAGACTGATTTTCTAGGAAGTTTGCTCAAATGTATGTAAATTTAAGGGAATGCCACAAAGTGTGAGTTTCAGCAGGCCCCAAATTTTTCTACTGTACCTGTTGCTTCTCAGAAAAAAGAAGATTGTTGTGTGGCATACACAAAGTGCACCTCCTTTTGCTCATATAAAATGGAAGTAATGAAATCTAAAAAGTCAAATCTATGAAGTTTTTTAAAAAATTTATGAGTTAGATATTATGCAAAGATGAAAATGTACTTCATCTCTACTGAATATTTAACATGGTATTCACTATAAAGACTGAAATTAGGAGCTGTCAGTTCTCTATGGAAAGCTAATCACAGTTCATAATAACAGCTAATGATATCCCACAGCGACAGCACTGAGTTGGGCTAGGCATGGTGCTAAGCAGTCCAAACACATAATCTTGTTTATGCCAGAGATCCTATGATGTGACCCTGCACCATTTACTTAACCACTCAGAGCACCAGCTTCCTTACCATAAAATGGGGAAATACCAGTGCCTACCTCATTTACTTAGTGTCTGCAAATACATACAGTCCAGCTGTCACAAAGTGAAAATTCAGTGTATGTGAACGATATGTCATTGCTATCATCATATGTTATTACTATCATCATCTCTTGCTTTGTTTCTATAATTTTGAAATCATATATATATGTATATATACATAAACAATTACCCTACATAAAAGGACAGTTGCAGATCTTTACTGGAAGGAATCAGTACCTGCCATCACTAAAACATAAGACTTGGTCACCAAGATGACAATTATTATAGCTACCATGATCATTTCTTGCCCTGGACAGCTGCAAATGCCTTCCCAAGTGGTATACACATGTCCATTCTCACCACTCCCCCAAAATGGTCCCCAGCGGTAAAGCCAGTCAGCTGTCTTTACTTCCTTCTGTCAAGGAGAAGGAGCACACGGCTTAATGAGGCCCGCAGGACTCTACCACGTGGCAGTGTCCTCTCCAGTTTCATAGCCCTTTCATGCCTGCCTTTCTGATCCAGCTGCAGGAACCTCTTAAAATCTCCCCAACTCGCCAGCTCCCTGCACCTTGAGATCTCTCCGTAGGACAGGCTTGCATTCTTGTTGAGTGGCCTTGGACCAGTCAAGTCCAGAGTGTCTTTCTGATTCCAGCTCACCTGTTTCCTATACTGGGAAGCCCTGGTTGACCCCAGACTGGGCAGACCCTGTGTAAGCAGCTACCCGATGCTTGGCCCCCTCCCTCCCTGTACCAACTAAGATGCTTCCTGAGGGTCCCAGCTATGACTGTACTACTTAGTATTGAGACCCCAGTGCCAGTCCAGTCCTTGGTGGCCAATAAACATGTGTGAAATGAATGGATGAAGAGAAAGCTTCAGTACTTGGTAGGCACATTGTTTTCCTCGATATGAGATATGGCGGCAAAATATTAGACATACAACTAAAGAGCAAAACATCAGGAAAGTCTGATCACATGTGTCTGGCAGCACATGTGATCCTCACCACCTGACATGCATCATCCAAATTCCCAGTTATGACATTGTTAGGGAAGTGAATATTAAAATATCCGACAATGGGGAACATTGGGCATTGCGGCACAGTAGGTTAAGCTACCACTTGCAATGCCAGCATCCCATATCAAGATTTGAGTCCTGGTTGCTCCTCTTCCAATCAGCTCCCTGCTAATGTGCCTGGGAAAGCAATGGGAGATGGCTCAAATAGTTGAGTCCTTGCCATACACAGTGGAGACCAGGATGGAGTTTCTGGCTCCTGACTTCCGCTTGGCCAAGGCCTGAACATTGTGGCCAGTTGGAGAGTGAATGAGTGGTTGAAAAAAATGTGTTTCTCTTCCTCTCTCTCCTTCTCTCTTTCTCACCCGCTCTTTCAAATAAATAAATAGTTTTTTAAAAAATACTCAATGATGAAGAGAATCTTTAAAAAATGATCCCTGTCCAAACATTGCTTTCTACTGAACACTGGCATCTTCAATCACCAACTCAACTCTTTAATTTTCTGGTTCCCCAGTGCTGCGTTAGGCAATGCAACGTGAACAGAAGTAGCAGGGTACACGGGGTTGCAGGAGCTCCATGGGTGCGATGTGGGAGAACTGACCAAATCCCAGCAAAGCAGAGGTGGACAAAAACAACCAGCAAGCAACTGCAAGGGGAATAGAGTGGCGAAACAACCAGTGCTCCAAAAGGAAATGACCCAATTATTAAAGGATTAAAAAAATCTAGAAAACCTAATGAAGCTCTGACTCCTTTCATAAAAATTACACTTTTTCAGCTTTGTAGTATAAAATTCAAATGTGATATGATGCTTAAAAGTACTATCAAACAATATTTTGTGGAAAAATTATTCCCAAGAAAGAATACTTAATTATCCATCCTAAGCATCTACACTTTAGTGAATATAACATCATTTCAGATTCACATTCCACAGTAACATTCCAATCATAACTTCCCCTACCATTTATCTGAACATTTTTGTCCCTATTTTATGCAAGTCTATCAAAAGTGGATGTATAAACCCCATATTTATATGTGTGTGTGTATATATATATATATATATCATGCTGCAAAATCTATTTAACTTAAATACAGAGCCCACAAGTTACCAATTTCCTGAATGCTCAAATATTCTTATTTGCTTATATCTAATGTTGCCTTTTTTGTTTGTTTTTGCTGCAGAGCAACGAAGGAGAGGTGAAGGGTCATTTCACCTCCGTGCAGGCCTGACCACAGCAAGGCATTGACTTAAGATCATCAGATGCCAGCACGATCTACTCATCCTCCACAGCACTCACCGGACACGGATCTGGGTAACTCCCCGAGGATTAATTCTCAAACACCGCAACAGACACAGTACCTGTTAGTGCCTTCCCTTGTTTCCTATAGTAAACTACAAAGATGACAGCAGCAACTATCGCCACGGATATGAAGAGAAGCAGGATAATTAGACTGGGCAAGTAAACCTCAGGTTCTGTATTGGGAGAAAAGGAGAAACGTGGCATTAAAGATCATTTAATTTTACTAACTTCAAAAAACAAAACCCTCTAAGTCCAACCCCAGAATCAAGGTTGTGGTCTGGAATATCAGAAGTAGGACTTCCCCTGCTTCTCGGGAGCACCCACATTCTGCCTGCGCTCAAATTCTTACGGGTGGAAGGTGCCACGGGGCTCAGCCCCGCTCAGGGAGCTCTGGCGAGGCCAGTGGAGGACCGTGATTATGTCCCCGCCTTAGGGCAACTCTGCTCCTGTCCACCACGCCATCCACACTCGGGTTTGCTGACCTCAGGGTCTCCAGGCGATGGCCCCACAGGCAGTAGGGAGCCCTTAGTACGTCTCTTCCCACACACCAACACAGCACCAGGGTTCCCGCGGCCAGGAGAGAACTACAGTCACTCAGTGGAGAATTTCTGCTGTTGCATCTACAACGCGGGGGGGACCCCACCATTGTCTTCCTCTCTCCCTGATCACTTCATTGCTATGATCTATATATCACAAACTCTTGGTTTACTTGGCTTGGATTCCTGGATGCCCACCTTTCCTGTCTTTATCTCTTTTTAAAAATAACTTTAGGGGAAGCCAGCACTGTGGCGTAGCGGGTAAAGCTGTCACCTGCAGCACCAGCATCCCATATGGGCACCGGTTAGAGTCCTGGCTGCCCCACTTCTGATCCAGCCCCCTGCTAATGTGCCTGGGAAAGTAGCAGAAAATGGCCCAAGTGCTTGGGCCCCTTCACCCATGTGGGAGACCTGGGAAAAAGCTCTGGGCTCCTAGTTTCAGATTGGCTCACCTCTGGCCATTGTGGCCATTTGGGGAATAAGCTAGCGGATGGAAGATCTCTCTGTTTCTGTCTCTCTTATTAACTTTGCCTTTCAAATAAATAAATCTTTTGTAAAAGGAGAGAAAGAAAGTTTAAAAAAATAAATAACTTGATGGAGGATGGTGTTGGGAGTGCAGCAGGTTAAATCATTGCTTGTGGCACCTGCATGCCATGTCAGAGTACCAGTTGAAGTCCTGCCTACCAGATACTTTGGTCCTTGTCACCAGGATAGAATTCTTTTTTTTTTTTTCAAGATTTTTTTTTTGACTGGCAGAGTGGACAGTGAGAGACAGAGAGACAGAGAGAAAGGTCTTCCTTTTCCGTTGGTTCCCCCTCCAATGGCTGCTGCGGCCAGTGCACTGTGCTGATCCGAAGCCAGGAGCCAGGTGCTTCTCCTGGTCTCCCGTGCGGGTGCAGGGCCCAAGCACTTGGGCCATCCTCCACTGCCTTCCCGGGCCACAGCAGAGAGCTGGACTGGAAGAGGAGCAACCGGGACAGAATGCAGTGCCCCAACCGGGACTAGAACCCAGTGTGCTGGCGCCGCAGCCTAGTGAGCCGCAGCGCCGGCCCAGGATAGAATTCTTGATTTCTGACTCTGGTCTGGTCCAGGCCTGGCTGTTGCTGCCATTTGGGGTTGAACCAGCAGATGAAAGCACTCCTGCTAGCATGCTCTCGCTCGCTCGCTCTCTCCCTCTGCCTCTCCCTGTATTTATCGCTCTGCCTTTCAAATAAGCAAATAAATCTTTTAAAAAATAACCTTATTTTCCCCAAGCTATTTTTTATATTATCTTCGAGACAGATCTTAAAACCGCTCTGATTGTGTAACTCCATGCCCAGACTGCTTTAATATCCTCCTGCTGCCCAAAACGTCAAATTTAACGTCAAAGCCGATTAACTCTGGTACTTCAAGGCCCATGTTCTCTTGTCTCCTGAGAAAGGTCTGCTTGTACTGTTGGCGCCCAGCTCCACGCGGACCCACTCACCTGTAGGAGACAGCCTCCACCGTTAACCAACAGCTTTCTGTCCACCTTTAAGATGAATCTGACCTACAAAATGCTCCATAAACTATGGTAACTAGATTCTAACAAGTTCCTATGTCTGGTTGGGGACCAAAACCTCTCTGTAGGCACCCTCACTGCCACCACCAAGATGCCACCACGTCAGGGCCTTTTAACTTATGCTTGCAACTCTAGTTTCTTTTTTGGCATACAAATATATTATTAGTTACCCTCCAGGAAATGGAGAAAATTGTTAAGTAAGCCATGTATCTAGAATTAAAATACTGATAAAGAGGAAACGTTGAGCTAACAATGCTGCGCCCTTCTGAGGGACCATGGGATTCAGGAGGGAGCACACGAGCCGGCTTCCCAGGGCCCCTCGACCAACCACCAGGCCCCTCCCAGGCGTACCATTCGGTGGCTTTCTAGATGGCAGAGAGGAACTGCAAACCACATCTGATTTTTCCGTCCCGTGACGTTCTTCTATCTTTCCAAGGATGGTACAGCTGTGGGGGGAAAGTAGTTAAGTGCTGCGGTTTCATGTTCTCGTTTTAAGAGGCAATCGCAGGCTTTGTCCCACTACACTGCCAGCTCCGTCAGACCAGGAACCCACGTCTCTCGAAGGTTTGAATCCCTGGGGCCTCCTACGGGGAGCAGAACATCACCACAAAGACAGACGGACTAATACAGAAAGAACTTCAAGATAGGTCACAGGAAAAATCCTCCAGGTGCTTCCAGCATGCAAACATGCGTATACGGAGGAGGCTTCTACATGCACACAATTGGCACACGCACATCTCTGGATGGATAAACCAGCCAAGCGAGGAAGCTGGAAGACGCAGTGGTACATGGGATGACAATAAACATCATAAATCATTTCCAACTAAATGAGCTTAGGACCAGGAAAAAAAAGAAGCTGCCACTGTAAGCCGTGGTCCATGGAACCAAAAAAGTCATGCAAAGTTCCTGCCCCACGTGAGGCTGCACGGTTGACTTGACTGGTTTACTGTCCCGAGCTGCACTGAAGCCTTTTCCATTTTGACCATGACCTCTAAAGGAAGCCTCACCTAACAGAGCCTGTTTGCTTTCCACCCAGATGAGACGGTGGCAGCTGAGCTGCTGAAAATCAACAAACGCTGAGCTCCTTGGTGGTCACTTACTTGGTCCAGGGTTTGCATCTGTCCATGGCAGAAAAGGTGTCTGAGAAGTAGCCGGCTTGGCAAGGCTTACACACCGTGTCCTTGTTGAGCTGCACTGTCGAAAAACAAACGGACAAAAACAAGGCACACAAAACAAACAAGGACACTTAGAGATCGGCCAGGGTGGCGTTCCAGGGGACCAGAGGCGAGGAGCTGCCCCGTCTGCCTATTGTCTCCCGGTCCCTGTCCTCGCCGCCAGTGCCTATTTGCCTCAGCTCCCACAGGCCTGGCCGCATAAGCCGGTGCTGACACCAGAGCTGTGTTCGGAAAGGCCACTTGCTCAGTCAGCCACCACTGCTGGCATCTGATTCCAGATCCAGGCTGGCTCTGGTCCTGCCCTTCTGTTGAGAGCCACTGAGTGGGGAACACACACCATTTCTGAGTAGGGAGCCTGTGTGCTCTCTGCCGTTTTAACCAGACACTGCCTGCTCTCCCCTTTGTGGCTCATAGCAGCCTTGATCTGCACGGAATGGCAGCTCTGCTACTGCTTGTAAGGAAAATTTGCCATCCTGACTCCTTCCAGTCAGCTTAACTCATCAGCCCAGGTACTAGAATGTCAAGTTTTTCCAATTAAAAAAAACAGGGGGAGGCATTTTGGCACAATGTGTGGGGCAGCTGCTTGGGATAGCCACATCCCGTCTCAGAGTGCGGGTTCAAGTTCTGGCAGCTTGGCTGCAGGTGCACCTGAGAGGCCACCAAAGATGGCCCAAGAGCTTGGATTCCTGCCACCACACTGGAGACCCAGATGGAGTTCCTGGCTCCTGACTTTGATTTAGCCAAGCCCTGGCTGTTGTAGGCATTTGGGGAGTGCACCGGAGGATGAAAGATCTCTATCTCTCTATATCACTCTGCCTTTCAAATAAATAAATCTTACAAAAAATAAAAAACCACAGGTCTCTTGCTCTTACACCAAGGGTGGTTCCAAACTTTTTCTAAAAGGGCCTTAGAGTAAACAGCATGGGCTTTGTGAGGCCTTAAAGTCTTTGCTGCAACTACTCATAGCACAAACATAGTCACAGACAATATGTTAAAAAAAAAAAGTGACTATGTTCCAATAAAACTTTATTTATAAACTATATGTTATAGGATGGATTTAACCCTCGCCTTAATTCACAGTACTTGAAACAGGAGTTTATCCTCATCAGTAAGCCTCACTCAACTCTCATCACCCTCAGTACTGCATCATCAAAATAAGAAAAAATCTCAGACTTCCTATGTCTGTCATCTATCCTTCGATCAACATGGGGCGACCCTTTGGTAACTGCAATGAAGAACGCTGGCCACTGTGTGGTATCATAGTCAGGCCACAAATAATCCTTGAAATTAGTGGTGCTTCTGTGATTTATTTTCATAAACACTAAAATAAGGAATAAAATTTTTCCCTTCTGAATTCGGATAGGCAAAGTCTTGATTTCTTCAACTTGGCTTAGTAAGTAGACTACCTGCTCTTTGATCTAGCAATTTGATTTGCCTTGAAACTATTAAGGAAAGTCCAGTTAATATCCAAGAACTTACATTAATTCAAAGGCTTTTCAATAGACAGACACAGTCTAGAAGATTGTGAACAACTCTCAGAAGCCAGAGACTCCGGCCGGCCTTCAAAGGTTTAAGGGCATAACTCCCCACAGCCTTGACTTTGCCAGAAGCATCCTGCGATCTTGCGCTCCCTTCTTGTTCTCACAAGCACATTTTTCCTACTTTACAAAAGATGGATCACTTCTTACCCACCCCAAATCCTGCTATGGTGCCAAGCCTTGGAGATGCCAGAGTGACGTATTAGTGATGGCAAAGCTCCTGCCTCCAGAGCATGCTGATGGAGTCTTGTCTTTCCCTATCTCCTAAGGGCAAATGTGGGGCAATAGAAATGGGGTACTTGGGACCATGCTGAGTTGTTCTGAATTCAAAGATACTGCAACATGGGGCAGGCATGAGATTTTTCACTCATCAACCTCATTGCTTCTGTCCTCCACCTCTTGTTAAAAAATGCATCGTTCAAAGATACAAGGCAGGAGCTGGCGCTGTGGTGCAGTGGGTTAATGCCCTGGCCTGAAGCGCCAGCAACCCATATGGGCGCCGGTTCGAGACCTGGCTGCTTCTCTTCCAATCCAGCTCTCTGCTATGGCCTGGGAAAGCAGTAGAAGATGGCCCAAGCGCTTGGGCCCCTGCACCCAAGTGGGAGACCGGGAAGAAGCTCCTGGCTCCTGGCTTCGGATCGGCGCAGCTCCGGCCATTGCAGGGTGAACCAGCAGACGGAAGACCTCTCTCTCTCTCTGCCTCTCCTCTCTCTCTGTGTAACTCTGACTTTCAAATAAATTAATACATCTTAAAAAAAACAAAACAAAAACAAAAACACAAAGGTACAAGGCAAGGAAAGATCTACCAGGAACCCTGCAGGCAGCAGCACCCATTGCAGGCAGATGACAAACTTGCAGGAAGGCACTGCGCCTTGTCTGTCAGTCACAATCCAGAGGGAACTGGCTGTGACTGAGAGACTTTAATAATCAAAAAGCCAAGCTGCACTCTGTCCAGGTTAAAGCATGTCTGCTTCAGCCCATACATTCGGTAACAAGGACTCCCTGTACTAGATAGACTCTGTGAGAGATTCTTCCGTCAATATGCATTGAAATAAATAATATTTCAATTCTCCCAACCCTGTCCAAGTGTTTCAGGTTAAAACAAGTTTGCCTCTAAGTGAGAGATTAACACCCACAATCACTTACTATGTCTCCAAAAAACTACTTTGTTATACTTTCTGGAAGTCAGGAAAGCAAAACTCTAAGAAATACTTTTGCAAATCAAAAAGGATTTCTGTTTCTTTACTTTCAACAAAATTTAAAAATGCAATTGGATATTAAAGATAACTTCATATGTCATATCACTTATGACCTTGGGCACAAAACTCAGATGGTGCTAAAAAGAATTGAGGGATTGAAGTTTTTCCTTAACCATTTAGTTATTTATGTGAATCAATTTCTCAGCACTTATCTATGTAACAGCAAGAAATATAAGTAAATTTATGTTGAATCCTGTCACATCTTAGCAGTACATAATATTCAGCAATGAAAATGTGAATTGGAAAAACCTCCCACTCATTATGCAGTTCAAATGCTTTTATTTTTATGATTATAATATAGCAAAATATAACATTCATTTTTGACCACTGTGTAATAATAAATATAGTAACAACTCGGTAGAAATATTTTTAACCCTGAGAAACTTGAGTCACAGGGAATTTTTTAAACTTGAAATTTCAAATAAATGTACATTTTTGATATAAAAGAATAATAAAAGGTGATTAGGAGAAGCCCTCCAAACATAAAAATATAGGGGCTGGCATTGTGGTACAGTGGGTTAAGCTGCCACCAGCTAAGCCAGCATCCATTAGTCCCGGCTGCTCTGCTTTGGTCCAACTCCCTGCTAATGCTCTTGGGAAAGCAGCATAAGATGGCCCAAGCAGTTGGGCCCCTGCCAGTCACGTGGGAGACCCAGATGGAGTTCTGGGTTCCTGGCTTTGGCCTGGTCCAGCCCCAGCCTTTGCAGCCATTTGGGGAGTGAACCAGCAGATGGAACATTTCTCTCTCTCTCTCCCTTTCTCACTGTCACTCTACATTTCATATATATATATGTATATATATTTGAAATATATATAATATGGATAAAATTCCATGGTAGAGGTGGAATGGACACAAGTCAAAGCACAGAAAGAAACTATGTAAAATCTGTTGCAGTGCCGGCGCCGCAGCTCACTAGGCTAATCCTCCGCCTAGCGGTGCTGGCACACTGGGTTCTAGTCCCGGTTGGGGCGCTGGATTCTGTCCCGGTTGCCCCTCTTCCAGGCCAGCTCTCTGCTGTGGCCAGGGAGTGCAGTGGAGGATGGCCCAAGTGCTTGGGCCCTGCACCCCATGGGAGACCAGGAAAAGCACCTGGTTCCTGGCTCCTGCCATCGGATCAGCGCGGTGCACCGGCCGCAGCACGCAGGCCGCGGCGGCCATTGGAGGGTGAACCAATGGCAAAAAAAAAGGAAGACCTTTCTCTCTGTCTCTCTCTCTCACTGTCCACTCTGCCTGTCAAAAAAAAAAAAAAAATCTGTTGCAGTTAAATGTGATTAGAGCAATTTTTAAAATGGATGACAGTGGGTCCCGTGGTATTCAGATTCCAGTGATTTTGTGTATGTGTGTCGCTGCAGTTACAATTCTCCAGTAACCAAGTCCATAGCAACTCGAGATTTGTAAGAAAAATTTTTGAGACGTTGACGTAAAAATGTGCCTGGATGTGAATGGTTTTTCTGAAATTACTCTAAGGGGTGTGTGTGTGTGTGTGTGTGTGTGTGTGTGTGGCTGCCCTTTGCCCTGGGCTAGACCACAGGGCTCGGAAGGGAGGCACAGAGCGCATCGAACCGTACAGGGGTGCTGGGCGCCGAAGCCCGGGGCGCACTCGGCGTTGCGGCGGCAGCACTCGCAATCCTGGCTCCAGTGGTACCCGGCCGTGCAGGCGCAGCGTCGCGGGGCCGTGCTGTTGCCGGGGTCCACGGCCACCAGGGCCTTGCCTGTGGGCGACAGACGACAAGTCAGTGGCCAGTGACGCACCGTCCGTGGCACTGCGCTGTCCCACAGCCACCCCTAGATGACCAGACGCAGCGCCCGCCCGGCTCTTGCATTCTGAATCACGCAGGCCACTCGGTTTGAGGAACTTCCAAGTTCCTCCTCCCACTTCCTGTGCTGGCACCAGAACCTCCCATGGGTTTCTCTCTAATAATTCAGTTTTGTGAGCTTTTAAAAAAAGTCAGTTTTCATGTTAGTAGGAAGACTGGAGGCGGGAATTCATGAGTGTTGAATACTTTAGCAAGTGCAAAACGGCCAACCCGGCACGTGGCGTCTTGATTTTTAGTAAACTAAAATCTCATAAATATTCTTAATATTCTTAATAGATGGGACCTAAGAGAATAGGTTTTCTGGAGATCCTTTAGGTTCCCAGGGTGAAAACAGGGGTCGCTGTGTGCGTAGCTGGCGGAGAGCGAAGAGGCGGGCAGGTTAGGCTTGGGAACCCATCTCTCCCCAAACAGAGTGCTTGCCTTCCTACCCAAATCTCCTGGCCCCTTCACTTTTTCTAGAATACCGGTACATGCGAATTCATCTATTACAAACCACACACACAGAGACACAGTCATCTGCCGATCCAGCTTGTGAATGCACCCACTTGGCCCTTTCACAAGCAGCTGTGGACATGCACGGAACCGTGTGCGTTTCTGAGCTGTGCCACACGCAACGTTGCAGCTGAGGCCACACAGGCAACAGTCTGCCTTCTTGCTTTCAGCTCACGCTATAAACATTCTTTCTGTAGACCCAGTGCCACGTTCTCAATGGTAGACCCAGTGCCATGTTCTCAACGCTGTGCTTTGTTGGTGACTTCCCTATCTACACAGCCACCAAGTGGCACGCTACCATCCTCCACTGCTCCCAAGTGTGACAAGGCTGCGATGCATCTCGCGCCTTCCAGAGAAAGTATCTAGCGTGCATAAGCTTCATTCAGGCCTGAGTCACAGCGATGTTGCTCATGAACGCCATGGTAATCGATAAAAAAAAAGTATCTCAAATAGGTATCTCTAAATGGAAACGCAAAAGGTTATGTGTTGATTGGTTGAAGAAAATGCAGCAGCCAGAGGCTCACGGGAACCTGACCCTGTACTTCCCCTCGGGGCAGTGGTTCAGTGCTAATTCACTGTGTGTGATGACTTTATAGAATCAACTGTGAGTGTGTGTGTGTGTGCACACTCACACAGATGCACACTACATCGGAAGTAGCCTTGCACCCTTGCAAGACTCCATCTCATCTAGATTGTCCAAATGGCCCTTGCCCTTTATATTTGAGAATCCTTAGATGAGTTTCCAGGGCAAAAGAAACAAACAAACCAGAAAATTCTTCCCTCTTTCATTGGCTCAAGTTACCTCCAGCAGGGTGGGGTCACTGCCTACTTCCATTCTTCCTAGAGCAGAGCGTGGTGAACCTGGAGACGTCCCCACTCCCTCTTGTGCCCACTTTCTGAGGGGCAGCACAGCTCTGCGGCACCAAGGCCGATACACAGTGCATGGAACAGACATGGATGCATGTCACCTCTCTGTTCCCAGTGTCCTACTCAGATGCAGCAGAATGGGAGACAGTAGGGTGAGGAATAACTCGGGCATGTTTAAAAATATCTTAATGTACCAGGTTTTTGGCTTTAATCAATTTTGGCAGTAGACAGAATGAATGTTTGTTTCCAAGAGACAGCAGTGAGTCAAGGTCATTACTAAGCTGTGGGAAATAAAAAAGACCCGATCAGATGCTTCTGCTCAGTGGACTTTCCGTGTTACCTTCTCCCACTAAAGTCTCTGCCAGTTGTCTTGAACACAGCAGAAAAAGAGTGTTAAAAATACTTAGTTTTTACTTCTGTCCAATGGAAATGAACACCTACAAACAAGGATCACTTCAGTAGCCTATGAGTCTCCTCCCTGTCACCCACACTGAGGCTGCTAAGTGTTCACTAAAATGTCCAGGGTAAGCCTGGAAGCAAGAGAGCTCTTGCCGGGGCTGGCATTTAGCTGGCATTTAGCTGCTAAGATTCCTGGTTGTGCTGAGCGGCCTGCATCCTCCACTACAGCAGTACCTGGTTTTGAGTCCGTGCTCTGGCCCCTGATTCCAGGTTCCTGCTAATGCAGAATCTGGAAAGGAAAGCTTCCGGCTCAATCACCTGGGTCCCTGCTCCCCTGGGAGACCTGGATTGAGATCCTAGCTCCTAGCTTCTGCCCCGAGAGTCACTGAAGGCATCTGGAGAGTAAAGCAGTAGATGAGACTGACTCTCCCTTTCTCTCTCTAATAGATTGATTTGATTTTTGAAAATATTCAAGGTCAAAAAACAGGGATGGTGGTCTGGTAAGGCTGTCAAACTTTAGAGTTAAAACATTCATGGTTTAGGACAAGGTTGAAGAGGCAGAAGTTCTGGTTTGAGTCCTGTTTCTCCTCTGTTAACCTTGGAGAAGTCATTCAACCTCTCGGAGAGTCCACTTTTCACCTACACAGTGATAACGTGTGAGCACGCGTAGGGATGACCATGGCTGTGTCTGGGGAATTGTTGACACAACATCGTGGGAAGGCTGTCCCCTGTAAGATGGGTCCCACGATTAAACTGCAACACAGACACATTCCAAGACACAAGTTCTAAAGGTAGAATTTCAACACAGGGCTTCAGGGATATAAAACACATAACTTCTTCCTGTGCCCCTAAAAGAAACCCCACTGACTGTACCTAAAAATGTTTATCTAGAAGAGACGATCTGAGTGAAAAACAAGATGAACTCAGAGTTTCCACGACTAACTCACCAGTGTCACAAACTTTATGCAGCAAGCATTTATCTTCTTCATTCCAGGTGTCCAGGTATTCATCCGGGCCACAGGACAGACACACACTGTCAGTGGTAGTAGTGCATTTAGAAGACAAGTACTTTCCTTAAAGCAGAAAGGAAAAATGCACCAGTCAGAACAACAAACAACACAAAGCAACAACAACAAATGCACCAACCTACTCTGCAGGTGCACATGACCCTGATCACAGGAGGCCCCCAAGGGTGACATGAACACGACGTGAGGCCCTGGGGCACGGGGAGTGTCCGGCCTGGGCTCCGCAGGCCCCTCAGCCGGCTAGAATAGCCTGTCCTGGCGACAGTGCTCTCTCGAGGGAGAAGGCCAACTACCCTCTGCACCCACAGAGCTAAAGAGCAGAGCTGTTATTTTCGCTGGGTCTTACAGAACATGAGAGGGTCCCTGGGACCCACTCAGGGAATAGGGGGCTAAGCAAGAGGAACTCATGATCCATTCCCTCTCCCATCGTCAAACTCTTCTCTGCTTCCCGTCCGCAGAGTTGACATCTTGTGTCTTACATACGCTATGGGCTCATGGTTAGCTTACTTTGACCAAGAGTTAGTCTCCCTCCCTCCCTTCCTCCTGCCCTTTCTCCCTCCCTCCCTCTCTCTCTCTCTCTCTCACACACACACACACTCACACACACACACACCCTTGAAAATCACTAGATCTTGGTTCTGCCCAAGAAATATTTGTAGTTAAAATATCCAAGAGGTCTTAGTATATGAGAGTATTTTTAAAAGTTCATAGAAAATGGAATTAAAAGGTAAATTTATCTGGATGCTAAAGTTTTTTTTTGGAAATCCGTGGATTTTTTTCCTAATATGCATTTTTCCACAAACCTTTTAAATAGCCCTCGGAAGGTAACCCAGCTTTCCTCCCTCACTGAACAAGAGAGGCAGGACTCCGTGGGCTGAGGAGTGCCGGGCCAGGTTCTGGCAGGGCAGCGCTGGGAAGGGGCTCGCCCGTCCTCCTCTGCCCCTCAGCAGGTAGGTGGAGGAGCTATTACTGGGGTGCAGGCCATTTCTTTTTTAGCAGCGGCAATTCCAAAGTGGTTATCCCTAAATAGAATTTCTGTGCAAACAAGTTTAAGAGCTGCAGCTCACATTTTGAGAGCTTGAAGCATAAGGTGCTAAAATATGCTCTTTAAAAATCTTCCTTGCCTGCCCAAGGAACGGTGTTTTGGCAAAGCTGTGTTGTGGCACCAGATTAAGCGCCAGTTTCTGAAGCTGGTTTTGACTTTGAGAGATTTTATCTATTGAGCAAAGAGGGACAGGCATGACTACCCAGCACCCGTGCAAAGGCCACCCCATTTCCTTCGTCATCCCCACAACAGCCCCGCCCACTCCCGAGGGGCAGCGAGGCGGCTCAGCAGCGGGGGTACCTGGTTCACACTTGCGGCAGCACCGCCCGGCGTGTTCGTAATGCCTGTCGCTGGCGCAGGGAGGAGCCACCTGCAGACTCACCTGAAAGGAAAATTGATGTTGGCAGAGATTACTCACAGGTTCCTCCTGGAGCCAGCAGAAAGTGAACCGCACTAAACAGCACTGAAACAGACCATAAACCCTCCTGAACCTGGGGGATGGAGGATGACCTCCCAAACGGCCCTCTCCTGTTTCCTGCTATGAGCTCATGAAACCTACATTTTAATTCAAGGCTGGGAGCCTCTTGAAGCACGCTCATGGTTATAGGACAGATTAGACGCAGCTTACAAATTATACACCGAAAGTTGCAAATTGCTTGATACCAGCCACAGCAGAGCGGTTCCTCTTCTGTGGGGTTAGGTCGTGGCTGCTAGGCTGAGCCCCCAGCGAGGGGCCCCTACAGTGACCGTTCCACAGGATGGCAAGGTCGGTCTTACAAGTCCCCTCTGACTTTGACATGCTGCTCGACACCGCTCGCCTCTTCCAATGTTAAACGTGCGGAGAATGGGTCAACATGGGGACAGCAAGGTGTTGGATGCTCTGGGTGTGCTGCGTGCCAGCCTGCTGTCCCAGGGACTCTGGGCAAGTCACTTAACACTTTCTGAGCTTCCGTTTCCTTTCTGGTTCAAAACAGTCCGATTCTAATACAAATACTAATCTCTGAATCTGCCCAGCAAAGTAAAACAATACAACAAGACAGCCAGTCCCCTAGAAGCACCAGAGATTCTTATCAGTTTGCGGCAGGAAAGCTCTTTTCCTTCAGAGCTTTCTCAAGTGTGAGAACAACAACAACAACAAACACTCCGGTTACAGGGGACAGATAGGGTTTGGCTGAGCAGACCTCAGCGCGTGTACACCGCACGCCAGGGCTCCTGCAGGCCAGTGGGGTGCCGACTGGCAAACCTCCACCGGGTGGTGCTACCACCCAGGCAGAAGGCTGCCAGGGCCTGCTTCCTGATCCGCAGGAATCAGCCAGATGAGGACCCAGGACCTGGCGGGAGGTGGCGGCGGAGGGGCACAGAGGCAGTGAGGTGGAAAAGGGCAGTAAGACACCATCAGTGTCAGCCGAGCAGAGGTGGGAGATGACAACGAAGGCGGTCAGAGCTGGGCCAAGGTCAAGGGCGGCTTCATCTGCATAGGAGAGGTCTTAAGGTGTGGAAATAAAATAGCTTAGAAGATGCCACGTGTCCTCAAAAACTCTCAATCATGGGAATATGATTTATAAAGGAAGCACCCACCCAGCAGAGTGGGGGTGGGAGAAGCAGCCCACATGGGCCCCTCTCACCAAGGATTCGGGGGTGGGAGATTGGAGCAGGTACACGGGGCGGGGCTGGCGGGGGAGGCTGAGAAAATCCATGTGTTACTGGAGAAATGTGTGCAGGAGTGTTGCACTTGGACTTGCTTCCTGGGCATGGCTAACTTTTCCCACAGACACCACAGACAGTCCAGGGGACACTGCAAAGAATGACTTGGGGCCAGGGTTGTGGCGTAGCAGTTTAAGTGTTCACCTGCAATGCTGGCATCCCATATGAGCACCAGTTCAAGACCCAGCTGTTCCACTTCCCATCCAGCTCCCTACTAATGCACCTAGGAAAGTAGTCGACAATGGTCCTCGGGCCCCTGCAACCACATAGGGGCTCCTGGCTTTGGTCTGGCCCAGCCCCCCACTGCACCCATTTGGAGGGTCAACCAGCAGATAGATCACCCTGTCTCTCCTCCTCTAACTCTGCCTTTCAAATAAAAAGCAAAAATTTGGGCTAGCACTGTGCATAGTAGGTTAAGCCTCCGCCTGTGGCGCTGGTTCCCATCCCATCTGCTCCTCTTCTGATCCAGCTCTCTGCTCTTGGCCTGGGAAAGCAGTGGAAGATGGCCCAAGGGCTTAGGCCTCTGCATTCATGTAGGGGACTCAGAAGAAGCTCCTAACTCCTGGCTTTGGATTGGCCCAGCTCCGGCCATTGTGGCCAGTGGATGGAAGACCTCTCTTTCTGCCTCTCAAATAAACAAATAAATCTTTTTTTAAAAAAATGAATGACTCCAAAAGAAACCACTGCAGGGCTGGCATTACGATGTGTTCAGAGTTGCCTCCTGCAGAGCTGGCATCCTGCTCCACTTCCAATCCAGCTCCCTGCTAATGCACCTGGGAAGGCAGTGGATGACGGTCCACATGCCAAGGCCCCTTCCATACACGTGGGATACCTGCATGGAGTTCCAGGCTCCTGGCTTCAGCCTGACCCAGCCCTGGATGTTGTAAGAATTTGGGCAATGAACTGAAGCTCTCTTCCTCCCTCTAGACTCAATGAATTGAAGCTCGCTCGCGCGCTCTCTCTCTTTTTCTCCTTCTAACTCTGCCTTGCAAATAAATAATCTTGAAGAAAAAAGAAAAGAAAGCACTGCACCCTCCCTTTCTCTTTGCTTTATAGGACACTGGTTCCCCAGAGGCAGATGCTGCTCTTCTGTGCCCGGCACGGTCACTCATGCACCCAGGAGAGCGCGGAGCTGAGGCAAGGCGGTACAACACTTGACAGGATCCCTGTGGGCCTGAGCCTGTGCAGAGATGGCCCCAAGGCCAATGCCAAGGGGAAAGAGCATACAAGTGTGGTCTGGCCCCACTGCAGATGGCAAAGGTTATCAATTGCTTCTGACCCCAAAGAAAGCTGCAAGTCTCCGAAAGATAAGCACACACTCGGTCTGCATTACACACATAGAAAGGTACTTTTTAGGGGGAATTTGCTAAAAGGACTCCCCCTGCAGCAGCTGGTGAGGGGCCCTGTCAGATGCTACTGGCTGCGCCCTGAGTGTCACCTGACCTGAGCACTTGGACTGTTTGCTTCCACACTCAGGAGCTCGGCTGTGATTCACTCCCTCCAGCCTGCGGCTGCGCGAGCTTTATGCCTCCTTGCAAAAATGAGGAATCCCTGCTTCACAAGTGACCACCTGTCCTAATTTAAACAGATTTTCGCAGATTAAAATCCATTTCGCTTTTCTAAGCTTTTTCCTTATTAAAACTTTTCACCCAGCCATGCCTTTAAAAAAAATGTGATTAAACCACACACCATAAAATTAAGCCTTTTAAAGCACACCATTCAGTGAATTTTAGTAAAGTCACAGTTACACAATCACCATTGCTATCTCATCTGGAACACTGTCATCACCCTCCAGCTGACATGTCTCCTGGATGGAACTTTTAAGGGCAGCAGCAATTTTGCTAGTGGGAAAATAATGCCATGGTGAGGCAGAACATTATGGACTTAATCTCACGTAAGATCCAGCTTAAGCAGAAATCTACTTTGTTCTACAGGTACAAGGTATACTCAGAAGTACACATTGTGATCTTCAAAATGGAGATTCAGGTTGAGTTTCCCTTATGTGAAACACTTGGGACCAGAAGTGTTTCGGGTCTCAGAGCTGCTCCGCTTGGAACGTTACCATCAGCCTTACCAGGGGAGCATCTCCAATTGGAAAATCCGAAATCTGAAATGCTCTGAAATCCAAAACGTTTCACATTTCACGCTGGTGATCAAAATGTTCCCGAGTTTGGAGCACTCCGGTTTTGGGCTTCTAGATCAGGGATGCTCCTCTGTACTTACATGACCTGAGAGGCAACTTACCTACCTATGTGTGTTTACAGAAATGTGGTTTGGGGTTAAGTAAAAGCAAGTCTGGGAAACTGAAGGGTGGGCGCACACCCGGGAGCAGGCAAAATGCACCTTTCGGTCCCTCCTCCTCCTTCTTGGTTCTCTGCTTCCAACTTTCTTCCCCTCCATTTGCAGAAACGCAGTTCTAGGATGAGCCCCTTGCTGGAGAGGACTTTGGGCCCCCTGGTCCTGGCCAGCACATGCAACCCTCCTAATGCCAGTCGCACTCCCACCTCACGCCCCAGCCCTGCAGTGGGCTCCCTGGTCTTCTGTCTGCCTGGCAGTCCTCTCGTGGGTAACATTAGGAAACGAGTCCTCACCAGCACATCCATCTTGCTTCACCGGGTCCCTGGAGACTTACGGAGCTGGCCCTCAATGTTGCAGGCCACACTGGCTCTCTGCTACCTTCTGACTCCCAGACTCGGCCCTGAGTCCCATCTGCTTGGGCTTGGCTCCCTGTTAGCTTACTCTGATCTCCTTACACCAGGCCCCCATCTGGATGGCCTATCAGGCACATCGCCTGGGCACTGCCTCTTTGTATGAATGAATGGATGTCCTTCAACCATGCAGCTGTGTCCCTGTCCACCCCAGTGTGACCTCTCCTTTTGCATAAACAGGATTCTGATTCTGCTGTCCATCATTTTACCACTGGCTTCCCTGTCCAACAGAGCCCACCCTGCTATGCCTGGACCATCCATCTGCCCAGAAGTGGGCCCTGGCTCCATCCTCCAAGACAAGCTCCCAATCTTGGCAAGGTGGTAGCTGTCAGTGTTGGTAGCAATTCCAGTCAAGTAGTGATCTGATTTTTTTTTTAAATTCTTGTTTAAGTGTTTACTGAAATAATCCCCCAGGAAGTAGGGGGATTTGGGCAGAAGGCTGCCACTGTTCAGTTATGGGGTGATTACGCCTGGCACCTTGTTTCCTAGGGGTAGCCACGGAAAGCCTTGATGATTGAGTAGAGGTATACAAACCTCGAGGAACCCAGAATTTTTCCTAGCCCACCTTTAAGACAGCCTCATTTCCATCTGGAACAACAGTCAATGCTTTTGAATCATAGTTGCTTTCAGGAAGCAAACAAAGCAGAATCAGTTTTTTGAATTTTTAGTTTTTGAGAAGGAAACATCATTGTGCGATACAAAATTCACAAGACACATAGCTTGTTTGGGGTAAAGCCTCTCTCCTTCTTCCCAGGCATCTTTCTTCATAGATAACTACAACAACTGTCTTTTTTTTTTTTTTTTTTTTTTTTGGTGCATTCCTCTAGAAGTGTAAGGAGTATCCACTTATGATCTATCTGGTAGCTGTTCTATAAAACAGCTGCCTTGTAGGCCAGCTGGGATCAAGTCCATTTGCTGCACTGGTATTTGGGGGAATGCAACTTGACCTACAATACTTAGAAGTCTGGTA